CAGATGCTCTATAAATGATGAAGCTTGAAACAGATAGACAATTTTTAATAAATCAACGAAAAAAAGACGTCTTGGATATATGTACGGTATTTATACAAATATGCGAAAAGAAAATCTTTCTATAGAACGGAAAAGTAAAGCAATTGTAAAAGAAAAGCGAAGTGCTCAAACTGAAGGTAATTTTAAAAGTTAATTTTTAATTTTATTTATGATTTATTACTATTATTTCTCTACTTTTTTTTTAGAAAGTTTAATAGAGATACAATTAATTATCTTCTACTGCTATGGAAATAGACGAATCTTCCAGTGACTTGGAGATGGACAAATCTTTAGTGACATGGAGATAGACGAATCTTCAAGTTATGTGGAAATTGCTGATGCTGGACGTGCATCGTTAAAACGAAGAAGAGGACACAAAAACATAATTACTCCTAAACTCGTCTGTGCACTAGATAATTGCAAAGTAAGTGATAGGGGGGCGATCCATATTATTATAGTTATAGTAGAGGCTTTAGGAGAAAATGTTGAAGAATATATTATAAATAAAATGTCAATTCAACGTTGTCGTTAAATTTTGCGTAAAGAAAGAGCAAATTTAATTAAAAATAAATTCATTGAAAGTGATCTCCAAGCTGTCGTTCTATACTGGGATGGGAAGTTACTACCTAATTTGGTCGGAAAAAATGTTATTGATAAACTTACCATCGTAATTTCGAGTGGTGATACAGAACAAATTTTAGGTATACCTGCTTTAAATAATGCAACAGCAATCGAACAGGCAGAAGCTATTTATAATATCTTAATCGAATGGAATATTCAAAATTCGATTAAAACGCTGTAATTTGATACAACTGCAGTTAATAGTGGTCGACTGGGTAGTACTTGTGTATTATTAGAACGACTTTTAGAAAAAAAAATTATTTTATTTACATTGTAGACATCATATTTATGACATAATTTTCCGAAGTGTTTTTGTTGAAAAATTAAATAAATCATCAGGAAAAGACGTTCCTATTTTCAAAAGATTCCAGCAGTCTTGGAATAAAATAAATAAAAAAAAATTTTTCGACGGGTGTTTCAGACAAAAAAATTAAAGAAACTATAACCCCACATATATTGAGAATTTTACAGTTTGTAAAAGAACATATACAAATTGCGCAACCTCAAAACGATTACAAAGAGTTACTTGAGTTAACAATGGTTTTTCTTGGCGATAAAAAAAATAGTATAATACTTTTTCGCACCCCGGATGCAATTCATCATGCAAAGCCGTTTATTGTCTTAAAATATATATCTTTCGTAATGAATTTAAATTAAGTATAAATGAAAAAAACGGACTCCGCGATATTTGTATATTTATAGTTAGTGTTTATATTGAAGCATAATTTAAAGCACCTTATGCTACAATGTCACCATATGGATATTTGGTTTTTATACGAAAATTGTACAACTATAGCTCAATTGATTTAAATATATCTCGAATAGCACTGCATAAATTTCGAAACCATTTGTGGTATCTAACTCTTGAAGCAGTTGCATTGGCATTTTTTGATACAAATATTTCTATAGCATCAAAACAGAGAATGATTATTAATTTAAATAATAAAATAGATTCAAACGGAAAATCAATCGACTACATTTAAAAGAATCAGATATTCCAGAATTTGTTAAAAACAAAATTGAATTTTTTGTCTCAAGCGAAATTCTAGATTTTTTTAAAATATTTAATTTAGATACCGAATTTCTTTTAAATGACCCATCAACTTGGAGCGAAAACTTATCATATCAAAATGCACTGAAAATAGTCTCTAAACTTAGAGTTGTCGACGATATAGCCGAGAGAGGAATCGAAGTTAATCGAAGTTAATCGAATACTATAATTCGATACTCACTACCAATGAAGAACAAAAACAATTTGTGTAATCGTGGGCGATTACAGAAAAATATTTCCTAACTGTAAGAAAAAACCATTACAAAATAAATTGTAATTAAACATAATTTGCTATACGTATTATTTTTAATCGTTCTTATAGAACATTTAGTTTTAAGCAAATTTGTATATATGTTATTTTATTTTATTTTGAATCGTTTTACTAGTATAAGTAATAAAACAAAAAAATACAAATTATCCCGATTTTTACATTTCTTACTTAGTTTTACATAAAATTGTAATTATGTCGGTAATAAACAATGTCATAGTGTTAAAAGTAATATTTTTAAAATCTTCACAACATTTGCTACTTGATATTATATATCATATTGTTGTTAAATTGAAAAAAAAAAGTTATTGCACAATATTTAAATTTTATTTAAAAAAATGACAAAACTACTAAACTTCATGTACCCGGGGGCGTAGCTTAAAATCGAACAATTAATTTTAAATTTTGCAGTTATTATTTTTTTAGGGTAGTAACAAAAAATGAGGTGGTGCCGCAAATTGTACAATAAAAAAAAAAATTACAAGAGTAAACATAGGGCCATCCTAATGTACATATATATTAATATACGAGTATATTATATTATATCGTATATATATAATACTCAATATAAAAAAATATTCAGAACTGCTTAAGTTCATACAGACGCTAAAATATTTCATTAATATATGTTTATTGTTATATATTATAATATGGTGAAATATCAACATTAGTTCTTTTTATAGTATTTTAATTTAGTTACATCAAAGTCTTCAAATTAAGTCCAGAAAATGGAAAATAATTTATTTAAAATAACCGAAAAGATTCTTTTTTATTTTTTTTGTTGTTTCTAAGTGATTACACAAATAAGAAAATATTTTATTAAAATTTATGCAATGATATTTTTTTAAAATATTTTTAAAACGTTGTTAAGATTAAACGTGATTAACGTGTTGATTTAAATGTGTAAATTATTAACTTAATTATTTATTAAAATTTTAAGTTTTTAATAATTAAAAATTTAATAAAAAATACAAACAGATTAATACTGTAATTATTTGTAAATTAATGTATTTTGCATAACTTATTTTAAATATTTTTCGTATTAATAAAAAATTATAGAATTACATTTGAATAAATGAGATAGGTACAGAGTCACAATAATTTTCAATCAAATTAAGAGTAAAAGCTTTCATAATGATACAAAATAAAATGTATTAATAATTTTTCTCCTATGAAACTTCGGTTTTTCAAAAAATAATAATAAGAAAAAAAATTACAGTTAATATAAAAATTAAAAACTTTTTCTAAAAAAAAAAAAAATTAAAATTAAAAACCCAATTTATTATTCTTATCAAAAATTTCATAGTACTAGTTAAATAAATCTGAACATCTCAGAGCAAACATTAACGTTTAGTGTTATATTTAATATAAGGAAAGAGTAGGATTAAATTTTATTTTAGAAATCAGGATTCATCGAAGCCATTAATTATTTTCTTTAGGTATACTTGGAGGTAGTACTTAGGGACTATATATCTACTGAAAAATGATTTATACGTCTTAAAATTAAACAATTTTTCTTCCTAATCAGAGTAAAATATCAAAAAAAATATTGATCATAACTTCAAAATAAATAAATGTGGATCGTAAAGTACATTTTAAATCGAACAGTACTTGTGATACCATATTATTATTATTATTATTATTATCCTCTATGAAAATTATAAAACAAACGATTTATGAGTTCATGTGAGTAAATAGTTATCATATCCGCTGCAGATCATCAGTCAAATACTCTTGCAACTTTCCCATTGAATTTTATTGTTTAGAAAAATTAGCCTCATATACTCATTGTATTATTTGTATATTAGGATATTTTATGTTAAATAAAGTTTATTAGTTATATAAATAATCTAACTGCATCTATTCTTAAATTTAAGAACTTTAGTACATAATTTTCAGCATCGTTAAACAATTAACGATTATATAATAAGTAATTATTTTTATTGTACACATAATTCGATCAATTATAAGAGTATCATAAAACTTTTTCGATTACGATTCGGAGATTCAATAAAATCATAAAGTTATAATCTCAATGGAGACTAAAAACGTTTTACATAAAATATTTAACATATACAATTTGCACGTTCACGAACTGTAACCGTCTCATTTTGTAGGAGCTGTTATCTGTTTAGGGTCTTTAAATTTACATTTTTAACGAGATTCCGAAAATTTTAATAATTTTGCATTTAGTATGCCTATGTTTACCTAAGCGTTATGCAAGAAGAAATGTTGGACCATAAAATCGTTAAAAATGGAAATTGTTCTGAGCACTTTTTCGGTAGAGATTCCCAGACGAGTTCTTACGTCTTTGGGGACACAGTGCTTTTAAATTAATAACAGAATTATAAAAATTGTATTTCCTCAAAGTATTGCCGATACACGTAATATCTGGAATTTCAAAAATAATCGATTGGATAGAATAACTCTTTGGGCACGGTGGGATACGTTACATCCCACTAAAATTAAAAACGTTTCTTCATGGTGGTATGAAATATAACCCACCAATTTAATCATTTTTCCAATTTATGTCCGTTGGAATTTTTGAAATGTTTGTTTAAATATAGATTCATATACTTGTATTAATGCCATTAGACTTGAAATTAAATACCCAAGATATTTTTATAACATATAAAAAAAATGTTTTTCTCCGAATTTCTTCAGAAAATTGTATGCAACAATCTATTTATTCCAATTCTAAATAACTCTCTATCTAATTGTTCAATTTGTTTGATTTTAGTTTTATTCTACGGATACACATGTGTATAATTTAATAATATACACTAAAATAATTCATTACTTTTGATTAGACCTAAATATCAGTATTTGTGACCATCCATAAAATAACCCACCGTGCAACAACGGTAGTACATATTTTCCAGTTCGCCCGTATTCGTTGCTGCGTTGAGTTCATGCAATCAATACAATAAATGTTATGTTCAATAAATCATATTTTATTTAATATTAATATTGGTTATATTATATTATAATTTTGATTTTCATAATTATATACTTTACAAAATGAATATTAATGATAGTGATATATGTCAAGTGTTGTTTGAAGACATACCGTCGGATGACGGGAGTGTAACATCAATAGATGATACAGACATGGACGAAAACTATATTATTCCTACGCAGAACACAAATAATATAATCGAAGAATCTTCTGATTCATCTGGTGAAGAGGTTAGTGATGTGGAAATTTTAAATTTAGATGACAATAATACTTATTTATTGTCAAGTCCTATAAAAACACGCTAAAATCATTGAAAATCTCGAAATAATGTCATAGTTCACAAACATACCCCATGTAGCTGCCGTAACATTTTTCCGAATAAAAACTCAAAAAATATTCGTCATCAAGTCCCAATATTACTACAACCTTTTTTGCAAGAAGATCCTGTTCCCTTACAAGAAAACACAGTTTTTTTTTTCCAAATTTATGCCAATTGTTTCAAATGAGAAAAATACCCGAAAAAATTGAAATCGTCAATACTCCCGAATTCGAATTTGTGGAACCTATTTGGTCAAAATTTGAAAATTTTAGTTTATTAACACCTCCATTTACGCATCTAAAAGGTCCAACCGATGAAAATGATATACTGACAGAGTACACACCATTTTCCATTTTTAAATTATTAATAACTGACGAAGTAATTGATCATATAACTTTTCATACAAATCTATACAGTCAACAAAAATATCAACTATCAGGAAAAATATATCATCCGATGACCTTTGATGAAATTAGTTTATTTATTGGCATGAATCTTTTAATGGGTATTAAAAAACAGTGTAGTTACCGTGACTATTGGTCATCTGCACCCGATTTGAATGATACTTATATAAGCAATCTTATGCCTGTCAATCGATTTTCTTGGATTTTATTTAATTTACACGTCAATGACAATTTATCTATGCCAAAAAGGGGTGAAAATAATAACGATAAATTATTTAAAATAACCATTTTAAAAAGACCATTTCTTAATTATATACTTAAAAACAGTCATATCTTGTACAATCCAAATAAAATTATATTAATCGACGAATCAATGATTAAATTTAAAGGTCGTCATTCTGCAAAGCAATACTTACCAAAGAAACGGATTAAAAGAAGGTATAAAGTGTGAGCTCTTGCCGATAACAAAAGATTTCTTTGGAATTTCGAAGTGTATATGGGAAAAGTTGGAGATTTGATCGAAAAAAATTTAGGTGCTCGTGTTATCAAACATCTATCATTGCCCTTGCAAAATAAAAATCATCATCTATATTTCGATAATTATTTCACTAGTTATCCTTTAATGACTTTTTTAAAAACTAAAAATATAAATGCTCGCGGAACTGTAAACATGACACGAAAATATTTACCTACATTAAAATCGGATTAAGACCTTAAATTAGGTGAATACGATTGATCAACACTCGACTTCTATTGTAAAATGGAAAAATAAACGCTCGGTGCACTTACTCTCCAACTTTCACGACCCGAAAGAGGTCGAAACAGCCGAGCGAAAAAACAAAGATGGATCTACTTCATATGTTCCTTGCCCTATCGCTTTGAAAGAATATAATAAAAATATGAATTGTGTTGATAAGTTTGACCAAAATAAAAAAACGTGTCAGATTGATCGAAAAAGTAAGAAGTGGTGGCACCGAATATTTATTCATTTCATAGATGTTGCTGTCGTTAATGCTCATGTAATTTATACACAAAAAACTGGTATTAAAATAAAAATAAATGATTTCCGTCGACAAATTTCATCTGAATTGTTCAGCAAAAAAATCATAGAAAAACGTCAAATGAAGCAAACTTCCGAACCACCACCAGTGCAACTCAAAAGAAATAAGCCATTTGTTTCCAAAAGTATTCGTCTCGAACAATCAGCACACCATCCAACTCGATCTACTCGTAGGAGATGTGGTAATTGTAGTACCAAATATAAGGAGGTGAGGACAGAGTGGGTATGTTCTGTATGTAATATTCCTTTATATTTAGGTAAAGCCAAAAACTGTTTCGCCAATTACCATAATAATTAGCTTATTGTTTTAAAAACGATTCAGGAATGTTTTACTTTTATTTTTATTAAAACGTAATATTCATCATAAATAAATAATATGTATTTCATAACATTATCTATATAGGGTATATGTATTTATTAGAAACAAAATATGTATTATGTTTATTATAATATTGAGATTGAAAATGTAAGTTTGGTTACTAATTATTATAACTATTTGTAAGGATTATCATTTATTACAATAATAATAAAAGTCAAATTTATTGTTTTATAATATACTATTTATTATTTACAGTTATAATTATTATTAGATTACTATTATTATCAACATCTATTATATTTGTGTATCAGAAATGATGTAATTTATTTTTTTAGGTAAAATTGAGATTCAAACCATAAATGCCCTCCACAATATGATTATAATACAATTTATCTAAGTACACGGTGGGACATATGGTGTCTCATTTATGGTAAGTCCTAAGTTAATGAAAAAACATTTTTTTTCCCCATAAAAATGCGAAACATTTGAAAACAATTTAGTTACAAATTAAAGGTGTTACAAGTAAATTTAATTGGTCATGCAACAAGGGGATAAAAATATTTAAAAACCTTGTGCCGCAAAGAGATAATATAATATACGCGAAAGTGTCGAAAACGATGGGTTATGTGCACCACTGTACCCATATAGATACTGCAACGGAAGAATTTATCAGGACGGAGGATCGGGGTTTTATAATTGTTTTTACGTGCGAATAAACACAAACAAAATGATATTATACGATTTTTTTGTATTTACCTTTTGCATCGCATCAGGTTTTATTAAATCATTTATATTCGTGCGGACGTGTACAGAAAATGAATAACTGCAGCGATCGAGATACAAAATGGTCCGCTGTATTATCCCGATGAAAATCACTCCGTAAATATACAATTTTTTTCGTTGGGGCTAACATTTCGTAGTATCAAAATTGAGAATACAGTAATTGCAGGTTTGTATAGTATAGTAGGCTTATGACTGATATAAGTGGGCGTAGCCCGTTTCACACAAATTTTGTTGTTGAAGATATTTCCGTTGGAGAAACATGCTGGACCAGAGTGTTGGCATTTTAACGACACCGATTTTAATAAATATGAATATACAGCCATTGTTTTGGCAGAAGATTTTCTGTTATTTTGTGTTTTGTTTTTCGTAATCATACTGTCGATAAAAAATATAATTATAATTATTTATATACTTATTAGATATATATTTTTATTATTTGTATATTTATTATATACTTATCATTTATTATTAAGTTTATACATTGTAAACGACGATTACAGAGATAGTATTGTCAATTGAGAATTTTAGTAGAAATGTCAACAATTTGGGTTGGCGTAACATCATGGTTACATAAGCTAACTATGATGGCACTCCATTTTATAAATTATACGATGATGATAATATTATGTCGTTTATTCAAAACATAGTGGTATACTGTTCAATTATGTTTCACTATAGGTTAAACCGTGAAAATTATGCTCGGAAACATCCATCTCGATGTCGTATTATACCTAGTATGCGAAATACTTTGAAATTGTTTTAATTATAATAGCCGGTATAAACGCCAAGAATATTTCAAGTTTGCTAATATTTGTGACAGAATATGAAAAATCCGCCTACTTAACAATTTCGTTGATCATAAGTAAATCATAACCTCACGGATACGAAAATCATAACTTTAACACTTTATAGGTTTTTCGAATATAGAATATAATATGTTCATTCATGTCATTGTAATAAGATGCATATCTTTCGCTAGTGTTATTTACTTAGACGCGTTATTTATCACTGTCACGCGTAAAACATAAAATATAAAATATAAATCTTCAAACTTTTGCGCTTAGTAAAACGTGCACAACAGTTAAATTTATTTTAGAAAAATATATGAATGGTAATTGAAAATAATTATCATTTTCGGTTGGTCTATACGGTAGTTCTTAACCTTTTACGGTTTAGCGCCCCTTCACAGAGATAATTTACTGCCTCCCATTCTAACGACCAAAACATTTTCATAATGATATGGATCAGTATTCAAAATTAAAACTCTTATTTTAAAATTTTTAATAATAAATAGATGCTTTATTTTACTCAGCTTTAAAAAAAGATTTTGATTTTATTTACAAAAAATAAACTTCATTTTATTTCTTCAGTGACTGCTCTGGGCCAGAGTAGCTGATAATATTGTAATATTTAGTTCGACATTGGTTTAAATTCAATACGATTGTAAGTCATCTTTATTGCAAATATCTAACCAATTTATTCGCTTCATTAAAACTGAACAACAATGTTGAATTCTTTTTCAGCTAGATACGTTGATGGGGAGGAAAGAAGCAAAACTTTTTGCTATAGTTGTAGATAAGTGTTTTTAAGCTTGACTCTGGCAAACTCGTAACTGACCTGTTTAAAAATAATTTGTGTCTCAGAGTCGTTTTTAAGACCGATAAACTTCATTTGAACACAAGATTCGAGAACTTCCACCTATTCAAAAGAAAATGGATCTAAGATTAATATAAATTAGAAAAATTTAATAAATAAATAAATAAATCTTGGAATCTTGATTTCATTTAATTTTTTAGCTGCAAAAATTGATCAGTGAAAATATGAATATTTATTTATTTATTTATTTATTATTAACAATACGGGCTGAGCCCAATTTACATAATATGATAAAACTGATAACACTAATTAAATTTTATATATGATAACAACCATAAAAATAGTGACTATTACTAATATACTAATTTAAAAACATGAAAACCAAAAAAAAATAAATAAATAAAAAATATAACAATGCTACAGAAATGATGGATCATTATTTGCCATACGCATCATTCTAAGAATTGGCTGGTTCTCAGAATAGTTGGTGTTGCATTTAGGAATAAAAAATGAATAGATTTGACGGACAGAAGAGCAAGGGACTTTAAAGTTAATCATGGAAAGTAGGACAGGAGAGTCAATACAGCCATCTATTATTAGGCAGAGAAATTTCAGGTTAGCAATTTTTCTTCTATCAACTAATGAAAATAAACCAAATTTAATTAAAATTGGGTTATAATCATGAGGTGGATGGTCTATCTTTAAAATAAATGCTGCATATTTGAGGAATTTACGTTGAACTCTTTCAATTTGATCCTTACCACAAGAAGTGGAAGGATCCCATACAACAGCACCATATTCCAAAATTGACCATACGTAGGCACAATATAAGATTTTTATGGGAGAAGTTAACTTAAACTCATTACAAATTCTTTTTATAAAACCAAGCATTTTTAGGGCCTTGCAGCATATATTGTCCAAATGGGAATGGAAATTTAACTCTCGGTCAAACGTGATACCAAGGTCCAAAACTTTATTTTCAGATCTCTTTAAAGGATTAGCATTGATAGAGTAAGAATACTCAAATCTATCACGAGTTCTGTAAAAGGACATTGAATGACATTTCACAAAATTGAGTTCAAGATGTTCATTTGACCAAGTAACTAGAGAGTTGATATCATTTTGTAGAAGATAACAGTCATTAAGAGAATCAATTTTTAAAAATAATTTTAGATCATCAGCAAATAGAAGAAAACGACAGTGACTAATAACTTTTTTAATATTGTTAACAAATATTGCAAATAGTAAAGGAGAGAGATGACCTCCTTGAGGGACTCCAGAAGTTGCATCAATAATAACAGACTTACTACCATGAACATCAACAATTTGCTTACGATCTCGAAGATACGACTGAAACCAAGACAACAACGGTTCTCCAAAACCAGAATTGAGCAAAACCTCAATTAGTAATGTATGATCAACTCTATCAAAAGCTTTGAAAAAATCCATATATATAACATCAACCTGGGAACGATTATTGAATGCATCAAATACATAATTAGAAAAAACAATGTTACAAGTATTAGTTGACCGGCCAGAACGGAAACCGTGTTGTTCATCGATTAAGATTGAACTGACTGCAGGACCAATTGATTTTAAGACTAATGAGTCAAATAATTTAGCTATATGACCTAATAAGGAGATTGGACGATAGTTGGCAACATTCGACTTATCCCCCGATTTATAAATAGATTTAACGGTGCTAAGTTTTAAAATATCAGGATATATTCTTTCATCTAAGGACTTACGAAACAAAAGTGACAATGGGTAGGATAATACTGGTTTTAACATGTATAGAAATTCACTAGAAAGTCCATCAGGACCAATTGTCTTGTCACCGCTCAATTTAGATAAACCTGATTCATTAAAAGATAAATCAAAAAAGCAATTACTAGGTAAATCATAAAATAAATGTGGGATAGTTGAATAATGGTTAATACTGTGTTTAGTGTAAACAGAACTAAACTGCTTAGCGAATAAATCAGAAACTTCTTTTTCATTAGAGCTAGTAATATCATTAAAATGAACTGTTTTAGGTATGTCATTGCATGATTTATTTTTTTTTATAAATTTCCAAAATACTTTGGGATTAGAACAGAGTTGAGATTCAGTACGTTCAATAAATTTTTTATGACAGTTTTTGGACATTAGTTTATATTTAGAACGAAGTAAAGAAAATTCACGATAGTCTAGAGGGTTACGAGAAGACTTAAAGATAGCATGGGCTCTTCTCTTTAAGAAAACTAAGTCAATTAGGTCCTTGGAAAACCAAGAAGGAAAATTAGACTTAGTATAATTAACCTGAAGAACCCATTTCAGAACAGAAAAATGCAAAGCATCATAAAAAGTAGACATAGCTAAGTTAGCATCAATATTATTAAAAGTTTCACTCCAATTAAAAGAGCTTAAAAATTCTTTGATACTTGAATAATCTGCTTTGTGAAAATTAAAAAACGATTTAGATGTATTATATGAAGGTAGATTAGAAGTTGAAATAATGTCAATAGACAGTGATGGGTGATATTTATCTTCTGGAACCAATGGATCAGAAAAGGCATTAATTTGTATATTATTACTATTAACAAAAATTAAATCTAATAAAGTACCATGAGTTTTAAAAACATTATTGACCTGAAAAAAATTTAAAAATGCAAAGGTTTCAGGGACACATTGAACATAAGGACCTGGACGAGAAATTTTAGAATAAACTAGACCATGACTGTCATTGGACCAATAAATATTAGGTAGATTAAAGTCTCCACAGAGGATAAAGTTTGTATTTACAAACGAGTTAACCAAATCTTCAACTGTACTAGTATAATTCGCATAGGATACATCAGGAGAACTAGGAGGAAAATAAACACCACCAACTATAAAAGGTTCATTGTTGATACTAAAGCTAATAAACAGGTGTTCAATATTGTTACAGCTAATAGGAATAATTTTAGAGGGGAAATCATTGTGTATTGCAATAAGTACT